GTATTTATTACTACCTATCTATCTATTTATCACTCTATTGATCTCTTTTCTTATAAATATATATATATATATATATATATATATATATATATATATATATATATATATCATTCTCTTAATAATAATAATCTCTATTCATATCGCTATAACATTGTCTATCTCACTCTCTCTATCTATCTCTATACCTATCTATCTCTTTATATATATATATGTGGGAGGGTGCATCTGTGTGTGTGTGTTTGTGTATCTGTCTGTATGTATGTACCTATTCATGATCCATACATTATTTATCGAATATATGATAAATTGAAACGACACAATTTTAGACATTATCAGCACATTCAATTAAATAGAACGCGATCTCAATTGGTAATTCTTTTTCATTGAATTCAAACGTTTTGAATGAAAGTGACAATAAGATCTTCTCAATTCTTTTCTAAATAGCATAATAATCATAAAATTGTTGGCAAATTTGATGAGTCAGACGTCCATTCATAACGTAGTTTCAAATGAGATTTTAAACGAGATTTCACAATAGATATTTGCAGAATAATTTCTGTGAAATTTTGAATATTTGCGTTTGATTTACAACCAAGAAAAGGATGAACACATTTTAAGGATATCTCCGTGAACATCTATATACCCTGGATAGAAACCCCCATACCTAAATACCACTAGTTTGTAATGATATATATATATATATATATATATATATATATATATATATATATATATATATATATATATCCAAGCCGCTATCCATTACTCCACTGTCCCTCCTCATAGCCCAGCCGAGTTCGAATTCCAGTCGAATCCATTACATTCACTTACGTGCTAATACCCTTGGGAAAGGTATGAATCCTCTTCCTCTCCCTCCAGCTATGGGTAAAAGAGCAGGACAGACTGGGTTCTATAGCCTTGGATGGCAACTGGTCTAGGAGAAGGACAACTCTGAATTCAAAACCTGCTGAGGGTCGTTTGGGAATCTTGTGGCATTCGGTGCACCAGGTCTCTGTATTCGTCCGTTCAAAAAATGTGGATGGTCCTGCACGAGGCCTTCACCACTATAATCAAATTTCATGTGCCGGTGTCGGGCTGTCGGTTTCCTGGAAACTGATCTGCTTGACCCTCATACGTCGAATCTCGACGGGACGGGACAGTCGATTATATATATATATATATATATATATATATATATCATTTCAATTATTTTAAGACATTTGTATGTTTATACATTCTTTTTATAGATACAAATATTTAAGTAAATGCTCTTTTTATAATAAACAGTATTAAACAACATTTACCGGCCTGAATTTCCGATAAATTTTCATAGAAAATATTCGTCCTCCGACAGGAATTGAACCTGTATCCTATACGGAACCGTCATACAGCCTGACGTGCCTTTAACCGATTGGGCCACAGAGGAGCGTTCATTTAGCAAGGTCGATTTTACTGTCTTTAAACTACAATCTTCCATGCTATATCCACCAGAGAACTGATATTTCTACTCACCTAAAGGCGAACGGGAGGGTAAATTAAACTAAAGCAAATGGGAAGCGTAATAAAAGAGGCCAATCAGCATACATCCCCTAGCTTGGCGTAAAGAAAAGTAAAAAGAAACAAGACGAGTCTAAAGTAATCTATTTTCGGTGGGGTACCAATACTGATTAAAGGGCTCCCAATATCTTAATGCCTAATCGGTATAAAAATTCCACTCTATGTCAAATCTTTTTACTCGACACAGGCGTGTAAGATTCAACCAACGGGAGTCGTTGTTTTTCCGTCCTGATCTTGATCTTAAGCTGATACCTAAAGAACAAGATCTGTTGGGAAGATGTAAACTTATCGTCTTCATAGAATTCCTTCTGTCGCATCGTCCATATCACGATTCATATAACCATAAGCACAAAAACACACACTTAGTCAATGACATTACCACATTGTTACAAACAGAACTGGCATCAAGGACAAAGATCTTTACGAGCATCGTGCGAACCCTTCAATAAACTTAATGTGACTACGACCTTGGGGTGGAAGAAAGCCTGACCCAGGGTTTCCACCGACTCACCATAATTGAGAGAATTTCCAAAGCCAGATGGAGAAAGTTTTTTTGCCGACCCAGAGAGCTTTCGTATTACCAACTAAGTAAGGCATTTCAACCCAGGCTCCCAAAGCCATAGGGAGCGAGACTACTGTTGTTACACCGAGGTCGCCAATCATATTATCTTGAAAATACCCCTCACTAACACTTGATAAAATACCTTACGGGACAATGCTTAGACGTCGAAGAGGCCATCCATCACCCGTAAGAGGAACTAGAGAGCTAACCGGCATTCACGATAGAAGGAGCATTGCCTTCGAGGTAAACGGTGGGCCCAATCTTCGCACAAGTTTAGACTTCTCAGAGACGGAAAGTTCTTATAGGGCGTCTTCCTTTCCAGAATTCGCCATTTCCACCCACTTGCGTACACATTCGATCGAGTAATACGATGCGAAGCTTATATTGACGAATTTCAAAGCTAGGCGTACCCAGTCGCCTTCAGAAATTTGGAGGTAACAGATCTCCCGAAATATCTTGGGAGTCTTGCCTTCCCACATATGGAGAACAAGATCTTAAATGCATAAGTATGCCACGCAGGATTGGAAGCACGGAGAATCGGTAAAGAAGAATTGGGTAGATATGCAAAGCCCAAACTGCATTTCTATTTAAGGAAAGATTTCTCTGAGACCATGTACGAATTCTGCCCTCGGCCTACTCCCGCATCCCGACTAATTAATTTCCATCAAGGGATCGGGATCGAACAAGACACCGAGTATCTTGTCTGTCCCGTCCACCTAGAAGAGAGGTCCCGTAAGAGAAACTCCCTTCCACGCGCCCAACTGCAAGTCAACAGTTGATCTTGGTCCTTGTTACCGTCTCGTACACTCTTTTTGACGCCTCCATCAGTCTCGGTCCTACTCGACAGAAGAATGTATATCTCATCAGCATAGGCGGAGTACCTGGCTGAGGTGGTCGCACTAGGTAAGGAGATTTCACCTAGTACCGGATTCACTTTTAATTTAGGAAGAAAAGGCTCCAACGCAAGAACGTAAAGCAAAGGTGAACGCGGAAGACCTTGACGAATGGATTTAGACAATAGGAACGGCTCCGATCATACTCCATTCGCTTCTACTACCGCACAAGGGGACGTATAAAGAAGTCGGATCCAACTGGAAAAATACGGCCCGAAACCAGCAGCTGAAAGTACAGCCTCCAGAAATCGATGGAAAACATTATCGAATTGGACTGACCTAAATTGATCAGCGCTGCTTCACTGTCGGCTTGCTCGATAATCAGGCGTGTGAAATGAATGTTGTCCTGAATAGTCCTACCCTTCGCCTGTTCAGAGTCAGTCAGACTAGACAGGACAGTCTGCAAACGACTGGGTAAGATCTTGGCTAAAATCTTCAACTCTGTATTTAACATTGTCAAAGGCTGAAAGATAGCTATCCTATCCCCAACGTTCTTGTTTTTGCGTAGTAACTTGATCACACACCCGGTGAAGCTCTGAGGTATAAACTCCTGTTTTATCCAGTCGTTGTAAATCAGTTCCATCAAGGGATAGAAAAACGTGCGAAAGCCTCAAGCACTGTTCGTAAGGAAGGCCATCTAATCCAGGAGTTTTGACCAGGGTGACCACCTTAAGCGCTTCCTAGATCTCAGATGTTGTGATGGGTCCTTCGCACCCAGCCACGAGGCGAGGAAAGTTGGCAAAATAGGCGTCGAATTGAGCAGGACTCCTGAAAGTATTCTCGAAAAGCCGTTTGTCCGACAATGTGAAGCTCGTGATATATTGACCGGATGCATTTCGAGTCTCCTCTGTAAGCTATTTAGCTTCCATCTTCGTAACCGCGAAATACATTCTTTTTAACCCAGCCCTAATTATAAGAGCTTGATACTTTTGATAAGCAAGGAGGTTAGCTCCACCCTAGCTAAAGCTACGTCTTCTCTATCAAGGGATTTGATCGCCTGATCAAATTTTACTTCACATGCCGTATTCATTGCTAATCTAGTGTAAGCGATTTGGGATTGCAAAGGAAATGTTTGTCGCAGATTATTTCCACGTAACAGAGAATAAATCACTAAGTTCAGACTCGAACACCGGGGGGGAGAGGGGGGCAGAAAGAAATGTCGAAAACTCGATTCGCAGGTACTATCTCACAAATCACGCAACCAGTCAGAAAAATAACACATTCTCCAAAAAACGCGGTAGCCAAAATACCCGAACATTTCTTCCCCGATTCGAGAACACCGACTGCTTTTATCTACCGAACATTTTTTCCATTCGTCGACGGCTGGGAGAGGATGTTCAGTATTTTGCATATCAAAATACTTTTATAGGGACTCCTGCTACGGACTTGTTTTTTTTTTTTTTTTTTTTGTTTTTTGTTTTTTTTAATTCAAATATTCCATCATCGGCATGTCATGCAGAATACATGCCGTTTTGTTTGGTAAGTAATTTTCTTTTTCGCCACATTTTCCGTCGTAGAATACACGCGACTCGCTGTCGCTTGGTTTGACGAGGTAAGTCGCCGTTTTCTTCGCTATATCTAGCTAGAATGAGTTGGAGATTATAATAACCAGCGAACGTCCTCATTTTAGATTTTAATATATCCCAACACTTATTCCCAAAGTTAGCCCCATCAATTCTTGCTGTAGCATTAGTAGAATATACTCCAGCTAATCTCGCTCACCAAATAATGATGCGTTCAATTTCCAGCCATCCTAACCTTAGGCTCATCTAAGTTTACATCAACCCGGACGAGCCTATGATCCGAGTAAACTCTAGAATCATAAACTTGATTAACCTAAGAACCCTACATCGACTCTAACTAGAACTCGGTCGAGGTAGCTATAACGCATCACCGAAGCCGAGCCGCCCCTATTCGACCACACGCTACCTTCCGAGGAATGCTCATTACAATACTTATAGACAAGATCGAACTTGTCAATAAAGTCC